TTCTACTCCCGTAAAGATTTACACCCTCGGAAACCCTGTACAGGGTCGCTATGGGTCGGACCCGACTCGATGGCACTTAACAACAACAACAATTAAAATAACACACAATGATTTTTTTTTTTGCTTCAAATGCTTGAATATGTTTGATTTATCAATGTATGATAACTATAAAAAGACTAAATTTGAAACTTAATTTCAGAATTTGAAAGCAATCAACTTTATGTTCATTTACCAATGTATTAAGTAAATTATACCCAATCCAGGTCAACTGCTGTTGAGTTACTTCCAATTCATAGTGATGCTATAGGGCACAGTAGAACTGCTTTGTAGGGTTTCTGAGGCGGTAAATCTTTAAGGAAGACCACTTCTTCATCTTTCTCTGGAAGAGTGCCTGTGGTGCTTCAACTGCCAACCTTACAGTTAGCAATTGAAAGCTTAACCTACTGCAACACCATGGCATAAGTAATTATTAAAATGATAAAGTGAATTTCTTGAGGGTGTGAATCTCATTATTCAATTACAAATGCAGATATTGATGACCATAATGACAATGGAGAAGACAAAAAAATGCTTTTATTATAAAAACAAACTATTAGAAATCAAATTCCTAATTCTAGCTCTTCATTCCATCTTTCCTTAAAAGTTAAGTATAAGTAAGGAAAAATAAAACTAAAGTGTTATAGGATATACAACCAAACACACAAATGTGTATCTTCTTAAGAACATAGTGATAAAATCAGCATCATCAAACAAGTACTATAATTGTTCAATTATGAACATTAAGGAAATGTTGTAAAAAAATATTGTTAAATTATACCATGGAGTGCAACAATGTGATTATTGTTGTCAGTTGCTATTGAGTTGGTTCCAATTCATAGTGACCCTGTATAGGGTTTCTGAAGCTATATAGTCTTTAGGGAGCAGAAAGCCTCATCTTTCTTCCACAACTGCACCTAAAGTTTTACAAATAATTCTTTATTCTTTATTTTAGTGATGGACCTCACATAATTTCGCTTTCCTGAAAAAAAATATGTATATCTTACCAACCATATCTTTAAAAGCTATTTTCACTTGCTGGTTCCTTAGGGTATAAATGAAGGGATTCAACAGAGGGGCAACTGAGGTATTGAGCACAGCTACTCCCTTGTTAAATGTGGCTGCATCCTCAACAGAAGGGTTCAAATACATAAAGATGCAACTTCCATAAGACAGTGACAGCACTACCATGTGAGAGGAACAGGTCGAAAAAGCTTTTTTCCTCTGTTGAGCAGAAGGAATTCTCAGAATTGTCCTGATAATGTATGTGTAGGAAAGAATCACTAACACTAATGTGAAAATGAGTGTCACCCCAACCAGAATGAACTCAATCATGTCTATGATATGTGTGTCTGAACAGGCCAATTGCAGCAATACAGTATAATCACAGCAGTAATGATTGATGACATTGGATGCGCAGAAAGGCAGCTGGACAGCCATTACATGTGGCACAATGACGACTAAAAATCCAGAGAACCAGGAACAGAGGACAAGCTGAATGCACAGTCTCCTGTTCATCACAGTTGTGTAATGCAGAGGTCTGCAGATGGCAACATAGCGATCATAGGACATGGTGGCTAAAAGGTAAAATTCAGTGGCTCCCAGAAGGATGGCAAAAAAATACTGAGTGAAACAACCGGCAAAGGAAATAGTCTTGTCTCCAGTCTCAATGTTGACTAGCATTTTGGGAACAAAGACAGAAGTAAAGGAAATTTCCAGAAAGGAGAAATTCCGGAGGAAGAAATACATAGGACTCTGGAGGCGATAATCTAGCAGTGTCAGAATGATGATGGTCAAATTCCCCATAATACTGAAGACATAAGTTAGTAACAGAAAAAAGAAAAGCACAGCTTGAAGCTCAGCATCATCTGTCAATCCAACAAGAATGAACTCCATCACTGGTGTTTGGTTTCTCATCATTGACTTCA